TGTTATCTTTGGTTTGCTCAAAAAAGCAGATCGTGGGGCAAAGGGCTAATATGCACCTCGTTAGATGATACAATATCAGGAAACATGTGTGCAGAACAGAGAGAATGAAGCCAGGAAGGAGGAAGGGTCAGTATGAGAATGCATTATCAAGCTGGCTGCCATTGAGCATGATGGTCCTCTAAGAAACCATGTAAACTGCATCTCATGACAGTGCATCAGAACGGGAGGGTGGATAGTTTCTCCACCAACTCTCACCTCTTGTCAATCAAGGATTTTCCTGTGGTGTGTTAATTGCCCCAGGCTTCTAAGTTTTGCATGCATGGGTACCAGCCAGGTTCTACAGCATCCAACAGCTTAGCATTAACATGGAAACCTTGGGAAGGAGATGAGAAATGTGTGGTGCAGGTGCAGGGATGAGTTGAGGTGGAGTCAGGTTGCACCTAATATTGATGGAGTCTCAGTGGTGGATATAAGGACTCAGGTGATATGGTATCTAATATATTCTACAGCTTGCATCAATCAGATCTCCTCTTGACCTCCACTTTTGAAAACAAGATACTCTTACTTCTTCCCTGAGAGAAAAGATACGTCTGATTAATCACAGAGTTCTTTTCAAGGTGGGTAGCTGCAAAGACTCAAGGCAAGAGAGTTTTTGTAACTAAATATGATCCTTGCTATTGAAGCTGGTTGAGCTCTTGATTCATATCCATCATCTTCACCCTTGACTACCATGCTGGATTACTCTGAACCTTTGTTGCCTTGCCTTTGTTGGGCCATGTTTCCTGAAACTGCCAGTTCTCTATAATCTCAGGGCATGGAAGCATGAAAAGAAGCTCCAGTGAATTCTCCCTGCCCCCATTGTGTAGTTGTGCCCCTAGTTCTTTATGTAATAATCAAGTGACCTCACTGACACTGTCACTCCTTTCTTTGTTTTCTGACCCATGGGCGAGAAGAACTCAATGCACTGATAGCTTCAGAATGATACATAGGAGGTATGTAATGTAATTCAATAGTAAATATCCTGTTGTTTAAGTCATTTTGAGTTAAATTTTGTTTTTCTCCTGGCAGTCTAAAACATCCTCACTAATGTAACACAGGAAGTGACAGCTAAGGTTGAGATCCAAAAGAATAGCAGAAATTAAAAATAGGCAAAGATTATGGGCAAGCCTGTCTCAGGAAGATGGACAAACATAAAAATCTGTACAGGAGTGAAAATGTAAACTGTTTGTAGAGATTTAATTGGTTCAATATGGCCAGAATCAAGATTATTTTTAAAAGTTGCTTGTTGAGGTTTCTTATATAATGTTGGCAATTTGCAAAGGAGAGTTTAGTGCCTTTGCGGAATCCAACCTGAAGAAGAACCTTGTGTCACAAAATAATAGCAGAAGTTGCCTTGTCTTTTGAGAACTAAATAACATTGGGTCATATTTCTAACTGCATCTCGCACTATTGGATTAGTTTTCCCCAAGAATTTCCTAAACTTTATGTCTTATGCTCCAATTTCCACTTCTAATTTCCATCAAGGTTAGGTGCATTTGTCTTTTGCTTTCTGTGGCTGTGCTCTTCTCTTCATCATCCCATGTTCAACAAAACTCTTTCCCCCACCTCTGCAAAATGCCAATCAACTATGAGAAAAGTCAAGATTCGATTAATATATTTTGGAGGGTGGGTGAGTGGGTGGGTGGAGAGAGGCAATAAAAAGGGTTCAATTATAGCACAACTGATGGCTTAAGAGGACATCGTTATTGTAAGACCTCTCTGACAGACCCAGCAGAGTATGAGGGGAATTCTCATGGGCCAACATCATTCTTCAAATTTCCTGTCCTGCAGTCATAATATGGTCCTTCATCTCCAAGAACTTCCCCACTTTTTTACTATTCATTTTGCCCAGCAGCTTCCAAATGCCTCCCTCATTGTTATACAGAGATATTCAGTTTGAACATCCTAATCCTTCCCTGATTAAGAGTTAAAGGACTATCTTTCCACAACCAAGATTGTTCATCAAGGTGGTTTTGTTAAACAAATGCATCCCTCTCCCTGAATCTCAGCTCTTAATCTGAGAACTGTGGAAAATTCTTCTGAGAACAGTGGAAAATTCCAGCAAACTGTGGAAAATTCTCAGAGATGGGAATACCAGATCACTTGACCTGCCTCCAGAGAAATCTGTGTGCAGGTCAAGAAGCAATAGTGGAAAAATTAATTGGTTTCAAATTGGGAAAGGAGTACATCAAGGCTGTATATTGTCACTCTGCTTATTTAACTTATATGCAGAGTGCATTAGGTGAAATGCTAGCCTGGGAGAAATATCAATAACCTCAGATATGCAGATGACACCACCCATATGGCAGCAAGTGAAGAAGAACTAAAGAGCCTTTGATGAAAGTGAAAGAGGAGAGTGAAAAGCTGGCTTAAAACTCAACATTCAGAAAACTAAGATCATGGCATCTGGTCCCATCACTTCATGGCAAATAGATGGGTAAACAATGGAAACAGTGACAGATTTTATTTTCTTGGGCTCCAAAATCACTGTAGATGGTGACTGCAGCCATGAAATTAAAAGATACTTGCTCCTTGGAAGAAAAGCTGTGACCAACCTAGACAGCATATTAAAAAGCAGAGACATTACATTGCCAACAAAGGTCTAGCTAGTCAAAACTATCATTTTTCCAATAGTCATGTGTGAATGTTGGACTATAAAGAAAGCTGAGCACAGAAGAATTGATGCTTTTGCACTGTGGTATTGGATGATACTCTTGAGAGTCCCTTGGACTACAAGGAGATCCAGCCAGTCCATCCTGAAGGAAATCAGTCCTGAATGTTCATTGGAAGGACTGATGCTGAAGCTGAAACTCCAATACTTTGGCCACCTGATGAATTGACTCATTTGAAAAGACCCTGATGCTGGGAAAGATTGAAGGTGGGAGGAGAAGGGGATGACAGAGGATGAGATGGTGGGATGGCATCACCGACTCAATAGACATGAGTTTGAGCAAGCTCCGGGAATTGGCGATGGACAGGGAAGCCTGGCGTGCTGCAGTCCATGGGGTCACAAAGAGTCAGACACGACTGAGCAACTGAACTGAACTGAACTGAATCTGAGAACTGGTTTCTCTACACTTCATTTGAAAGAGAATGAAAACCTGGGAGTGAGGAGTTGATTGGGAGACGTTTCTCCAAGGGGATACTAATCTAATCTTGAGCTGAGTCTTGAAGGCGAAGTTAGAGTCAATAGGGAAAGAGGTGCGGAGACAACATTCTCCTTGAGCAAAGACATTGAGGATGAGAGTGGTGAACACCCATCCCCTGTTTTATGCCTCCTTCTCCTGCAGCATCTTTTAACCCTCAGCATATTATTTGAGCAAGTGAGTAAAAGAGGAAACCCCGTGGACCTGATCTGAAGGGCCAGCAGTCCAGAGGCCTAATGAGAACACGGGGGAGAATCCCTTCAAGCTGTGCATGTGCTCACTAGGGTCACATACAGTAAGAGACATTGAACATTCATTTTAAGTTCCAGACAATTTCCCTATAATGTAGAGCTTAAGAGTATTTTCCTTGGATCCAGGCTGCTTAGATTCAAATGTTGGCCCAACCTCTTGTTATCCATAGGATCTTGGTTCAGCCACTGAATCTCTCTGTGTCTGGGTTTCCTTATCTGTAAAATTGGGATAATGATAGCACAGGGTTTTCTGAAGATTAAATAAGTCATGTCTATGTCAACTTCTTAGAACAGTGTCTGTCACAAACTAAGCCCTTATTAAATATTAGCTCAGTGCAAATCATTGACTTGACTCATTGACAATGCTGGTTTGTGATATGTCATGTGTGAGCCATGAAAATAGTTTGGGTCCCAGCTGCTTCTGCCACACAAGTTTTTATACTGGGAAATGGACTGATGTCACCAATTAAGTTAATTGGCACAACTTATTTAATTTGGACCCCTAGTGCACATAATGGGAACAAAATTTGGAACCCAAAAGCATGGATATAAGAAGAAAAATCACCAAATATATTGCAAAGGAATGCCCAGCTGCTTTATGGAGCTGTTATCTGCTTGCTGGGGACATGTTATTTATGTTCCTTTTGTGTTAGTGCTCCGTTACTAAGTGGTGTCTGACTCTCTGTGACTCCATAGACTACAGCCCTCCAGGCTCCTCTGTCCATGGGATTTCCCGGGCAAGAATACTGCAGTGGGTTGCCATATCCTTCTTCAGGGGCTCTTGGTTGCTACCAAAAATGATGCTCATGGAAGCTTCAATGTATACTGTCTGGGTCTTACCTTCATAAATTTTGATGTATCTATAATTGGTTTGGGTTTTAGCTTCAACTTTGGGGTTTAAGGGCTTCCCTGGTCGCTCAGATGGTAAAGAATCTGCCTGAAATACAGAAGACCTGGGTTTGATCCCGGGGTCAGGATTCCTGACTTGGGTTGGGACGATCCTCTGGAGAAGGGAGTGATACCCACTCCAGTATTCTTGCCTGGAGAATTCCATGGACAAAGGAGCATGGCGAGCTACAGTCCATGGGGTTGCAAAGAGTTGGACACAAATGGAGTTTAAAAACTCTCCAGGTCTCACAATTGAGAACTACTGTTTAAAAAATACTCACCAGCAAACCACACCCAAGACAAATTAAATCAGAATCATTGTGGGTGAGGCTTGGGCAACAGCATTTTTTTTTTTCAGTAATAAAAATTTATTGAGAATTCCTGGGGTGGTGGTTATCGCCTCCGGACCACGAGGGAGGAATCAACATCATAGCAAATCACTGAGAAATCACACCGTCCCAACACCCCTGGCCAACACAGGGAGGAAATTCATTGCCCCAGAAGTGGTCAGTCTTAGTTCATCAGAAGGGTTGAGAGGAGCGATGCAGAGGGACCATCGCATGACAGCGGGGTGGGGGTGGGGTGGGGGTGGGGTGGGCCCCAAGGTTACTCCTCAAACACCAGGGCAGAAACAGATCCACTTCCTCCCTGGAGGCAGAGTTCTTTGTCACCAGGCTCATTTCTTACCCTTGATGAGACTGTCACTTCCCCGGGTGAAACTCTCATCCTGTGGGTTGAGCAGGAGGTTGTCAGCAGTGAGAGAGATAAGATTCTGTGAGGTGGCGATCGTCTTGGAGATGTTGTGGGCCGCCCGGATCTTGCACAGCTTGATATAACCCGGGTTCTTGCTCAGGGCCTCTCCCAGGTAAGCAGGATGCGGTTAAAGGGCCACATGAGGCCAGATCTCAATCAGGGCCCTGTCCTAACTACTCCCCGGGCTCGGCCCTGCCCTGGGGAGGCTCGCCTGGTGATTTGATGTTCAGCCACCACTCCTGTGGTTCCAGAATGACTATTCTGGAAGTTCATTGATTTGGATCTGATCTTAAGTGCTGCCAAGGCTACACTCAATGATGTCTCATCAGTGTTATAGCTTCCAATGACAAAATAACACATCTATCTTAAAAAAGACAACCTCGTTATTGAAATTTCTGCCAAAGCCCCCCAGAAATTTGGCTTTGCAAGTGAGATGTACTTATAATGTGATTTTTGATAATGTGAGATTTCTAAGATCACAAACCTCACGCTGGTAATAGTGCACTGCTATACTTTTTTTAAAAGATCTTTTTGGCCACCCCAAAAGCAGATTCTTAGTTCCCTGACCAGGGATTGAGGCCCTTGCAGTGGAAACGTGGACTCTTAACCCCTGGACCACCAGGGAGATCCCTGCTATGCTTTTGATTCCCAGAATGTACCATTTTTCTGGTAAAATTATCTCCAGGATTTTCTTTGTAAAGTCACTTTTCTCTAACTCTTATCCTCTGTATTTTGTTTCATTGGTGGAGAAGAAGGAGGCCCCAATTAGTGTAAGCTAATTAGCATATCCCATCCCTATGGGCATGGCGATTGGTTCCAAGATGATCAAGTGATCATTTCTGGCCAATGAGAGTTGAACTCAGGTTCAGCTATGGAGAAAGAGAAGCTTCAACTTAGAGGGATGTGAAACTGAGGTATGAGGTCGGGAGCTGTTGGGAGGAGCCAGGCTGTCTGAGAATGAAGCCCCACACAGAGGAGAGCTGAGCAGAGAGTCATGGTGAAGTCGTCTGCTTTTTGGATAAAGCCCCTGGCACCAGCAGAGCCAGATTACTCTCCAGCTTCCCTCTTGCCCAGGTCAATGACTTCTGTTCCTGTGAAAGCCAGTTTGAACTGAGTTTTTACTTAATTGCTCTGAAGCATCTAACTGACATAGCAGAACAGAGGAGAGAATTTACATAGCAAAGTTTAGCTCCTCCAAGTAATTTCTTGCCTGCTTCTTCATTTGGTCCTTGCCACAGTGCTGTGGAGTCGGCGTTGCCAAGTGCTAGACTGTCAGCTCTGTGGGTACAAGAAGCCAGGGTGTGTGTCTCCCTCTCCCCCGCATGGTGCCATCCAGGAGGCGGGCACTCACTAAATAACTGTTGAGAGGAAGAGTGAATACAGAGATTTCACAATGTGGTTTCAGCCTCACTCAGGATTCCCCTTTATCTAAAATGAGCACCCACCATCCCTTGAATGGACCTGATATTTTTAGGCTTTTGGCCAAGTCATTCCTTCCACCTAGAATATGTTTTCTGTTTCCTCTGGGTTTCAGATCCTCATTTACCATTCAAGACCAGAACAAATGCCTCTCTTTATGAGGCATTTTGCTTTGGCTCCCACCAGTTTGCTATAATGGTGTTCTTACTCTCTAAGATCCTGTGGGGAAGAAGATGAAAATTCAGAAAAATCCAGATTGGAATCTCCATAGTGTCACTTCCTAGCTCTGTGACCTTGAGCAAGTCATTTAGCTGCTGTAAGCCTGTGTTTCCTTAGTACAAGTTTGAGATGAAAATCCTGCTGATCTAATGTCTGTTGTGGAAAGCAGATGAAACACACAGTGTATAAATTTTCTGTGTGTTCTAGCACAGAGAAGACAGTGATTCTAAAAGGCACTATTTTTCTCCCTGTTTCATATTATTGAGTAACCCGTGCAATCAAGTAACCCATGCCCAAGGTCAAACAACTATTCATTCACTTATTTTTAAGTCATTATTTATTCAGCCCCTACTATGTGTCAAGCTCTGTGGGTCCTAAAGACATAGTACTAAACAAGACAGATAAAAATCCCCATTCCCATATTCATGGGAGAAAGTAGATCTGATATAAACAGATAACCACATGCATAACAAATGTCACAAAGGGGAAGTTTAGGGATATTGTGTGGAGGGAATGTCAAGATACTGGAACTTGAACATAAGACTGCTTTGAGTTATGACAGTTAAACGGAAGTGGGAAGAACATGCATGTCCTCTTCCCCTGTTACACAAGAGGGATTGACCTCTTTCTGTCCCTACTGGTCCTGGGGGGCTCTGACTCGGGCAGCCGGGCACCCCTTCTTGGCCAGCCCCAGGGACATGTGGAGACCTTGGAGAAGGACTTCGTGCCTCTGAATCGTCTGTTTCTGGCTCTTCTTATCAGTGCTGCCAGTTATTACATCCATCCCCTTCACGCGCCTCTCCACTCTGACCGGGCTTCTGATATTTCATTGTTCTCTGAAATTACCTCCATAAGATTTTAAATAAAAGTGAGAAATGGCCTCTTAGAGCCTCCACATTGGCCCAGTGCAGTTTTCCCCTCCCTTTTTTCATGCCACAATCAACAGAGTTGATACAGCCAGGCCGAGGGATTATGAATGGGCAGCACACAGACTGTGGGCACACACGGTAGTTTAAAAATCTGGGAAATTTCACATGAAAATCCACGTTTCTGGCTTCTCCTGAAAGGTCAGAAGAATTGGCATCACCATTCCCACATCTCCAAAGGCAATACTCAGCTGAAGCTGAGTGATGGCTGTCTCCTTTAGTGCAAGCACGCTGTGGTTCATCACAGACCCCACTGCTCCCTGTCAATCCCCAACCCAGCCTTCTACAGTCATTTACTGTACTTTCCTGGTCTTTGAAAGCACAAAAGTTTGCATTGAATTTTAATCTGTATTTAAAGTGGTTCGGACACATTGTAAACACTGAATTAAGAGTAGCTATTATTAATAGTAATTGTGGTAATAGTCAAAGAGTACAGCCCTAGAGCTGACTTTTAAAAAGTATATATAGGGCCTTTCTCATAGCAATTGGGTAGGAATAATGATAGCTCAACAAATATTCAAAATGACAGCATCCCTTCTTCCTAATCATTATTCCTACCTTAGAAAATTTCTTAGTAAATTGCATAAAATCCTCACCCATAATAGAAGCAGAGCATGTTGCAACTAGGTGATTATTATTTACTGTCATTACATAATTAGACATAATTTCAATAATTGCCTAAACAGAAACTATGTGAATAAATATTCCTTAGGAAAACACAAATTAATGAAAAGGGAATCCAAGTTGGGGATGACACCTGCAAGATCCAGAGGGCCAGGTAAGGGTGATATGCACAGAGGATAGTCATCAGGAATGTGGACCGGTCAGGCAACTGGGTCTTTTTGAAAGTGGCTTCAGAGCAGTGAGGTTTCTTTGGCTCAGTCTCTAGCAAGATGGCTTTGTCCATCAGTGAGGGGAAATAACAGTTTAACTGAACTTCAATCTGCTTACTGCTAAACCTGCGAGTGTCCTGCTGCCGCTGACCGCTCTCCCTCCTTCCTTCCCTCCCTCTCTTTCTCATCTCTTTCTTCCTCTTCCTTCTATTTCTTCTTCCTCTTCCTGCCCCCCTTTTCCTTCTCTTTTTTCCTTCTTCCCCTTCTCTCTCTCCTTCCTCCCTCCCTCCTTGATTCAGTGGTCCTTGAGTAGCTGCCTTCTGCCGTGGGCACTGGCCTAGGTGCTGGTGATACAGTGGGGCACCAGGCAGGAATGGAGAGTACCTTGTTGGAGTTTGCTATGGAGCACCTCCTCCCCTTGGCTCCTGGGAAATGTGATGCAATCTGTCATTCCATACATACTTGTTGATCACCTACTATGTGCCAGTCATGGAACTAGGTACTAATCTGCAGTAATCAAGCCAGTTATGGCCTTCTTCTCTTGAAATTCACATTCAAGAGAGGAGTAGACTGATAAAGCAAACAATCAAAGCAGGAAAATAGTAGGTACTGAAAATGCTATGCTAAAATTAAGATGGTGTTACAGGTGTCTGAAGAGACACATTTGTCACAGAACCTGGCTTGTGGATACTTAAAAGTTCTGTTCCAGCTTTCTTCACTGTCCAGACAACCTGTATGATCTCTCTCTGCTTTTCTCTCATTTTTGTCTTGGAGTCTGGAGTCAGAGAAACTTGGGTTTGAATCCCAGCTCTGACTGTCTCTGAACAGTGCCTTTGCCATTCTAGAACCAAGTAATGTATTGTTGATTTATTTTACCTGCTAATTGTCTGTCTCACCAAACCTAAGCTCCTCAGTCTCCCTTGCAACCCTGACTCCTATGTACCTAACACCTTCTAAGCCCTTGATAGGCAGATACATGTTTATTGATTGACAACATGCACGTGAGTTAATTTGCTTTGTTCTGATGCCTAATCATTTTGAGTGGACCAGGTAAAAGGGAGACCTGTATGTCCCAGTGTTAGCATCACATTTGGAACCCACCCCCCCCAGCTTCTTATAATGATGCTGACACTCACATGTGCAACGCTGTTAGGACTATAGTCCTCAGATTTACGAAGACCGAACGCAGTGGATAACTCCCACCTTTCTTGCGTGAAGAAGCAAAGGATAGTCGTATGGCTTTCTTCAGCTCCATCTGTGTGTGTGAGGAGCGTTACACTGGCAGTAATTACAGAAAGGAGAGGAAATGGAATAAGTAGCAAAGGAAGAATTAGTTGTACTCGACCTAATTAAAATCCTGTAGAAAGAATTCTTCTCCTATTTGCAAAGGTGATCTAGCATGACCTTGAAGCCATTGTATTAACAACTGTACTTTTCATTTTAAGGGGAATAAATGGCAGAAAAATCATTTGGGAAGGGCAACCCTCTATTTGCCTTTCAGAAATTAAATGACCTTGATTTCTGAACCACTTCCTCCCAATGAAATTAAATTGCATTGAACCCTGTCGGTTAACAAGGGAAAGCTAATCAAGCTGGAGGAGGGAGGAGCTCCCCCAGCTGATGCTCTGCAAAGAGGTGGGGACTTTGGAGCAGAGAAAAGTAGCTACAAGGTGGGAGTCTGGGGCCTTTGGTCAAAGTTGACTGAG